ACCTAACCTACCCCGTGTCTTATCTTCCTTCCACTAAATTGGGGGAACCTACCATTGAGAATTTGGAATATACAGTTTTAGACTTTTTACTAAAACCTATTTTAAAAAATGCATAAATAAATTAATAGTCTTTTTTTCAAAATTGCTAGGAAATAGATTTTAAATGTTCTCCCTGCGTGATGGATATGTTAATTAGCTTATTATGATCGTGTCACAAGGTATACATATATCAAAACAGCACATTGTACCCCATGAATATATACAATTATTATCTGCCAAATTAAAATAAAAATATAAAAACAATGCATTCGTATACATTTATACATTCATGTAAATAAGTAGACTTTTTAAATGGAACACATATCTACTCCTTTAGTTAATTGTTTATTAGAGAACATCGTTCCATGTCTGTATATATAGATATATCCCATCTTAAAAAATATATGATAGTCTTTTGCGGTAGCACTCCAGTAATGTATGTAACAAGTCTCCAGTTGATGAATATAAAGTTTTTCATTTCTCTCTTTTTTCTCCTTTTTTTCAGTCAGCAATAGTACGGCATTGAGCTTTAGTATACATTACTGTTTTGCAGATGATAAGTCTTTCCATAGGCTTAAATTCCAGGAATGGGTTTTAGAGTTTAAAGAGTTTATGTGTTTAAGTTTATGATGGATGCTGCCAGATTACCTTCTGGGAAGGGTGTATTTGTTTCCATTTTTTTCTAGGAGTATAAAAGAACACCCGTTTTTCAGTACCTTTACTTACATTGTGACTTGTTAGTCTTTTTATTCTTTCCTAATTTGTAGGGGAAAAATAATATTGTTTCATTTGCATTTCTCTGATTTTTAGTGAACTTGATCTTTCTTCAACAGAACGTAGAGGTGAGAGCCAAACTGATCTTTATGTGTCACACATGGCTGTTCTTTCATTGTTAACTGTCTGTGGGGCCACTGCTCATGTTTTCTGCTGAACATGTGAACATTAAATACATAAGGTCACTAGGTGTCACTAGAATCCCATTTTGCTGGGTTTGCTACCATTGAACAAAATTTTTAATTCTGACATTTCCTTTGGACAGTAGAAATCTTTATCATAAAGAAAGAAGAATTAAAGGTGAAAGAAATAAAAGCCAACTTAGCTCTCACTCTAAGTTCTGTTGAAGAAAAGTTATCATAAAGTTAAATGTATTAAACAATCACAAAAAACGGCTAGGGTGAATCCAGCTCTGCAGCTCAATAAGCTTTGCCCACCTGAGAGTCAGTCATGGACCAAAGTCCAGCATCTCCTGCGTTGTGTTTGCTACAAACAAGGATATTTTCCTGCATAGCCACAAGGCAGCCAGCAATACTGGGGACATCCTGTGAGCACCCACACTCTGGTCCCTGTCCCGGCAGCTCCCTGATGCGCCTGCAGCAAGCTCCCCTTACGTCTCTCCCTCTGAAGCCATCCATCCCTGGTCCTGGTTCGGCTTCTGTGACCTTGATACTGTCAGAGACCACCAATCAGTGCCAGGCCAGGTCCCTCAGCTCAGGACTGCCAGTGTGTTTCATGAGGTTATGGGGCCCTGCCTCTTTGCAGCAATATCCTGGAAGTGATGACGGGTTCCTCTTGCTGCGTTGCTGAGGTGGCATGCGATCTCAGCATCCTGTGCTGGTGAGGTGGCCTTGATCTTCCCCTCTGGTAGTAAGGACAAAATGGACACCCCCTCACCCTAATCAAGCCCCTGCCACCTAGCCATGGCCATCAGGTGTGTGTCCTCACCTCAGACTGGGCCCTCCCCCTGCACGGATGCCCCCTCCTTGGACTCCCTGCTGGCAGAGCACACTGTTACCCTGACCTGAGTCTCTTCCTTGTGCCACAAGGGGGCATGTGTCCGGATCGTGTGCTTGCAGGCTGGCACCTTCAAAAACACATCATTCACTTTGAATTTCCCCTGAGTGCCTTTCGCACAGCGCCGTCTGCACTGGAGATTAATGTCCGTTTTGCTGAATCGACTCATTGACTGGCTTTGAGGAATAAGGTGGTAACACCACTCAGTTTGGGACAAGAGTAGGAGAAGGCCGCAGGGTTGGTTCAGGCAGAGTCAAGGTGTTGCCTTAGCTAAGGGTAGAGTGGGAGCCTGGGGTCCTAGCGAACCTAGTAGGAGTGCAGTGGGAAGTGCTGGAGTGAACTGGCTCTCTGAGAAGAAAGAGCCCATCGGATCAGGGCTTCCCAGAAGAGCAGCTATGGTTCTGTCGTCTCCAAAGTAGCAGCAGTTGGACAAAGATGGTCAAAATCTGGTTCTGTTTAGAGACGTCTCTAGAAACACTTTCCCTCTTGACCACTAGATGGGGAGATAATGTTATCATTTTACATTTCTGAAGAACTACGGAACTGTCATTGGAAGCTGTTTTGTCTGTTCAGTAGACTCTGGTTGAGTACCTGGTAAGTACAGCTTTTAATGTGTTGCTGAATATGATAAAGCACAAGTTATTTGCAGCATGGATTGACGTTACCACTGCTGAGGGCCACTGGGTCTTCATTGTGAAAACAAATAGTTAGACCCAAATAGACCGAGTCCAGGGAGAGTGTCCTTTGGGTCTTTACTTTCCATCACCCTGATGAGTGGCAGGTGGGAAGCTTTTCCCCAGAGAGACAGACGCCCCTTTTCTGACTACGCCACCAGCGTCCGGACCACATTTTGCTAGACTGAGTCAAGCCTTTCCCAAAACTATTGTGCTTATACTATTTGTACTACAAGTAAAACTACTTGTACTACCAGTAAAAGATACTAGTTTTGTGAACTTTGACAGGTGATCTTCTGAGCCTCCATATTCTCTCTAGAAAAATAGGAGGAAATAGTCATGCTTACTACCCCCAGGGCTGGTGCGCCGGCTGAATTTTACTATGGTGATGATGATGATCAGTCCAATACTCTCTTTGTTTGATTTTTCAGTTCCCAAGACAACTCTTATGTGGTCTTTATTTTTGTTGGTTTATGTCATTTTACCTTCCTTTACTGCCATTTCATTAGGGGTTTGGGAGGCAAGAGAAAAACTGTGCTGTCATTCCACCAAAATCAACCAGAGGTCAAGAACCTTCCATTTTTACTGCCTGAATATTGCTTAATTTTGATTCCTTTCACCATCCGCCCGGTCCCTGCTGCCTTTACTGACATCTTTAGCATCTCCGACCTCAGTCATTGCAGCCGTCCTGAGTCGTTCCCTCGCCCTCTTTGTCCTCATCCCAGATGGTGACCTATGTCCCCTCCCTCACACTGGTCCTACCAACCCATTCCTCAGGCGACCTGACCATGTCCTTCTCTCACATCTGTCCTGATGTCCCAGAGCACAGAATGGGGTCCAAGCTCACTAGCTTGGCAAGTACAACCCTCAGGATGACCTGAGTTCCCTCTGTGTGGCTGGTCTCCTAACTCCCACTCATTTATTCAGTCATACGAGTGGTGTAGGTTTTCCCAAATATGTCATGCCATTTATTCCACCATACTCTGTGCTCTCCTTCCAGATCCGGATGGAAGATAATCTGTCCTCCCACATCTGCCCCCCCCCCCAGAATTGAGTCTGGTGACCATCTATGTCCTGAAGCTTTTTCTTTTTTTCCTAAAGCCTTTTCTGATTCTACGAGTATCCGTTATGCTCCTTTTCTGTTTCATTGTACTTCTCTTATTACAATTACCATACGGTATTCTTTTTTTAATTTTTAAATCTTTGCAAATTCCTTTCCTGTCTGACTTAAAGGCAGCTGCATTCTCATATCTGTTTCTTCGTACTGGGATAGCACATGTCGTTTAGCTCTGAAGTCTCCTTTGTGTACTCAAGAGAGAATGCAAAATGAAAAAGGGAAATAACACATCTATACTGTTATAAATATAGTTTTGACTTTGCATACTCTCTAAAGGGTGTCAGGGACGCCAGGAGCTGTCTGACCACACTGTGAGATATGCTACCCTAGTGTCATTCGCAATGCTCTATAGATAGGCCTTACTATGCCACACATGTACATATTTCTGAAGCTGCTTTTCATTTCTAATATGTTTTAGAGAGCTTTCTGTATTAATATGAATATATATTTATATTGTACTGTATTTTAATTTTTCAAATACCTATTTCCATGTTAGATTTTGAACAGTGATAGTCTTGTGAAAGATAGCTGGAGAGGTGGTTAGGGGTGGGCCTTATTATAAAAACACTGAAACAGGAGATGGGTGAGATTATTCTGTAAACACAGAAATGACTGAGGGTTTTTGAATTGGGGAGGGATGAGTAAAATGCTTTAAGATTAATATTTCAGTAATATATGAGTGAATTAGAAGAGGATAATTGGTAGGGCAAGAAATTGTTTTGAAAATCATTATAAACATTTAGCTTCGAGTTAATTTAAAGCTAAACTTAAAGCTAAGAAAGAGATAATAGTTGAAGGAATCCAGAAATGCAAAAAGTAGACAGTATATTGAGAGGAGAAATGTCAAGCGGGACCACAGACAGGGATGGGAGGAGAGGCTTGGCTGCGCGGAACTGGGTTGTACTCCCCAGCTCCCGGGGCTGATGTGGTGTCTGGATGGAAACACACTCGAAGGACAACCCAGTTTTGGAGAAAAGATGTGCTCTCTGGTCTCAATTTCTTTAGGTCACTTTTAGCTCTACACTTCCCATTAAATGGCTTGTTAATTCTCAAATTACACATTTAATAGCATCTGCTTATACCTTTGTGAGTGCATTGATCATTTTGAAGTGTGCTTCCAATTGTTGCATAAAGATTGTACTTCCTTTACCTCTCGCCTCTGCTCTTATACTTTGTCACCATGTAGAGATGATTTTGGAAAGTTTAATTTATATTGACTTTTATGTTTGGTATTAAATGGCTTATTTTTTTAAAAGAAATGTCTATTAAAATGGACTGCATATGGATGTGTTTCTTAAATTGCAGGTACAAGTGCAGATTTGATGCTGTGTGAATGTGTAATAGAAACAAATACTCACTAGACTAATTTAATTATACAGATGCAGAACAACTGGAGTACACATTGATGAATCATTATTCCCTGCAGCTAATACTAATGAACACTTAACAGGCCTAATTAAAAAAAAAGTAAGTAAACAATTTCAACGAAGACAGTGCCAACTATGAATTCATTCATTCTTTTGTTATACCTAGAAGTTAAAACTTTTACAGATATATTCAAGTTGTTTTCAGTGAACTATTGATGATGATTTTTCACATAACCTTTTGAGTCAATTATAGAGATTATTTTATTCCGTGAATGCTTGGATGTAATTTGTAAGAAATGGAAGAGGCTGTGATTGGCCACAGGAAAACTAAATGTTGCCAAGAGACCAGGAGACATTCAAGTGCTTTGGTAATTGCTTCAGAGTTCAGTTTATATATCTGTAGCAAAATGCCTTCATTCTATTTAGCTGGAAAATTTCAGTAGTCTGAAGCAGATATGTCCAAGTGTGTAAAGTCATGTATTACAGAAAATCTGCTTTACAAACACAGTCATCCCTCAGTATCCTCAGGGCATTGGTGCCAGTACGCCTCTGCAGATATCAATATTTACAGATGTGCAGATCCTTTATGTAGTGAGATGGTGTTTGCACATAACTTTTGCACATCCTCTCATATACTTTAAATCATCTCTAAATTACTTATAAGACCTAATACAGTATAAATGCAGAGTAGATAGTTGTCATACTGCTGTGGTCTTTATCGTGTTATTTTTCATTGTAGTATTGTTATTTTTTATTGTTGCTTTTTCTTCTTTTAAATTTTTTCAATCCTGACGTGTGGCACCCATGGATCCAGACCTCGCAGATAGGAGGGCCAACTGGAGAGCTAAAGGCACTACTTCCGTTTGAGGCCTCATTCACATTTGAATTACAGCCATTTAGCTTTTCTATTTATTTAAAGTTTTAATTGCGGTTTCTTTATTTGAGGGAGCTTACTATGAAACATCAAAACCACTTGGTTTTCATATGAGACTCTGTCAGAAGAGGATTTGATGGCTTTCTCCAAACTGAATTATGGAAGAACTGCACATTTCCCATAGATTAAAGGAGAAGTAGCTGTGGCCTTCTCTACGTTTTCTGAAACTAGTGAATGATGTATCTCCATGACTTCATCTCAGACTAGCCAGAATTTGCCAGTGCACTGGTAAATGAGCTTCTTTCAGTCTCAAGCCAGATCTGCTCATCTGGTTATAGGTGAAGGGTTCAGCAGAGTCTCTGACTCTCTGCAACATGCCAAAATAAAGTATTTATTGCAAAAACACATCAGTAATATGTGCCTATTGTCATTGTAAAGCATTTGGTTAACTCAGATAAAGCAAGCATCTCTTGATTTCTTTTCCCTCAAAATAAGCAGTTTTCAATTTGACGTGCATCCTTCTGAAGGGGATGTCTTGGTACACAGTACTTGTTCACATGCACACATGTTGCAGGAATGGAGCCCTGCTGCCTTGTGTGTACTGCTTTGGGGTACTTCCCCCCCACTTAGCAATGTGGTTTTGATCATTTCATGTTAGTTGATACAACTCTACTCATTTTTCTGTGTGGCATTTTACAGCGTGAATGTGTTTTCCCTGCATTCATGCACTTTTAGATCATTGTCAGTTTTTGCTAAATATATCACTTATGCAACATGTTTGAGTTTATTTCTCCAAGCTGGATATCTAGAAAGGAAATTACTGAGTCAGAATACATACACATTTTTATTTTAACACTTCCATTGTTGAATCCTATTTCTTGACACTGACCATTGCTGGATATTATTAATCTTTTTAGTTTTTACTTTAAATAATTTTTATTTTAAAGATGTAGGGTACACATCAGGGTTAGGTATACAAATGGTCAGTGTACAGGTAAAGTTTGGGCCTCATAGTTTTTCCTAATCTGAAGCATAAATAATGACCACTCATACACTTCTCCACTTTAATATTTACCCATGTGCAGAAACCTTCCCTTTTCAAATGTAATTGCAGATTCACATGACTCGAGGCATTATTATTTTGGGTTCTTGAGGCGGTCCTCTGCCTCTGTCCCCCTCACCCTGCCTGCTGCCAGACCAGCCCGCCTGCTTGCTCCTCCTCTAACACACCAAGTGTGTTTCTGTTTTAGAGTCCTCATGGTAGCTTTTCCCTCCACCTAGAACATGCTTCCCTGCTCAATCCATCCATGTGACTCCTTTTCCAGCCTCCATACAGATAGGGTTTAGCTGCTGAAGAAGATTGACAGGACTTCGAAATAACAGTGAATCTGCAGAGCACCTGGGAACCAGGGGGCACAAGGTGGAGCCTCTTGTACTCTGCTGACCATGTACCCATGTTACCCTGCCCCATGAGCAGAGCCCTCCAGACATGTCCTGGTCTCACGAATAATAAGCAATGCTGAAAAGGTGGTACAAACTGCCCCCAGACTTCTTGGACCTGTGGTTATAAAGCACCACTGTTTAATTACATTTCATGTTGTGCAGGTACTTTAGAGAAAACAGTGCAGACTGGTTCAGAACCTGTTTAAATAACCTCCCAACACACATATGATATAATTTGCTTATTTATGTTTATTTTCTGTCATTCCTTACCTGAGTAGAAGCTCCATGATGGCAAGGATTTTTCCAGGTTGTCACTATGGGCCTGACACATAAGAACAATTTTTGTTAATAAGCGATTGAGTAACTGATAGAGTAAGATCTGGAGTCAAGAATGACTAAAATAAATTCTTTCTTTAAGACTGGAACAAAATAGTTTAGACTGGGTATCCATGTAAGTAAATTTGGGCTGGTAGCTTCAACCTCAGATGCAAGAGAAACCTAGACAGAAGACTTATGTTTCTGGATTCCTTTAAGAGGGAGCTCAGGCATAGAAGCAGCAGTAGGCAGAACTGATGTCGACTTCAGGTTTTGTATTTTTGGTGATGCTGGACTAAAGATGGGAAGCACATGGCTAGTTCTAAAGAATAAGAAGACTGGGAGTGTGAGCTGTGTTTTACACATTTTTTCTCCTCTCTGAATATGGTAAGGCTAGAGTCAACCCAGGACTTCCTTGTAGATATCATCCTGGGCTTCCATGTGTCTGTGTATGTAGTGAAAGTCTGGGGGTTTTACTGGCTGAATGGAGTTACTGTAATTTAAATACAGTAAGGCAAATGGACAATGGTTCTGTTCTTTGGTCATTATAAGACAGTAGTGAATTTTGTGTGTTAGCACTGTGTCACGATTTGAGGGGAAAGGTGATACTGAGCAAGTGATGGGCTCACTACCTGGCATGCATAGAAGCCAGTATTATGGCATTGACTTTTGAGAAAAGAAAGACTTCGTAGACTTCATTGCAAGTCAAATGGTGCAGCGATGGGAGGGAATGCACAAATATGTCTCCCCAAGATGGGGCCTGCGGCAGGTTTTATAGGCAGAGGGTAGTGAGGCATGATCTTATTGGATCTTGTAATGAGGTGATGCAGTGGGGTGAGGTGATTGGATCTTGGAATGAGGCATGATCTGATTGGATCCTGCTGTGGGGTGATACCAGGTCCAAATCTGATGGATCATGGATTGTGCTATCCAGTATCTGCTTCTTAATTTGGTCCCCGTTCCTTGGTCCAAGCACTTAGGTTCTGCCCAGGGTTGCGTGCTTGGTTTATCTGGGCATGCTCGGGTTACACAACTTGGAACCTGGAAGTCTATGGCAATTGCAAAACAACTCACCATTTTGTTACACAAAGTTGAGCTAGATCTGGCTGGTTCTGCAGTAATAGTAGCAAAAAACAGAAGACTAATTTGCCTAAGAACCTTCATGGAAACCAAGAATTTATTATTGATGTCAGAGAAAGTATCAGAAATATACGTGAAAGGACTTTTTCTTGTCTTAAGCAATTACGATACAGTATTATTAATTTTTGTCCTTTTTGCACAGCGTAAGTGTATGCAGCCCAAAGATTTTATTTTAAAATCACCAGAAAATGATAAAAGATATCAGAGGAAATTGGAGAAAATGGCCCAAGAGCTACAAAGGCAAAAAGCAACCATAGGTAAGTCAAGAAATATAATACTGTCCTTTGCAATTGTGTTCCCACATCTGCCTGGTTTGCCTGATGACCAGGGTGTTTAGGATGAGGCAGCTAATGAAGACTGCAGCAGCTTTAGTAGGAAGGAGGAACTGGAAGGTCCGTAGCCCACAGGAGACTTGTCTAGGAGCCATGTTGAATCAAACAGTTGAGCTGATTGGCCACAAAGTCCGAATCATTTATCACATTGATGGAACTTTTTATTTTCAGGAATGGTTAGAGAAGAAAAGCAAGCTTTTCCTAACAAACTTTATTGAAATAAATATACTTACGGATTTCTTCTTTATATATCACTTTGTATTTTAACCTAGTACTTGGTCTTCTTGTTTTATAACTCAGAAGAGACAGATCTTGGATGATATGGTATATTCTCTTGGTGATTTAGAAAAATACTTTAGAATATTATGAAACTTTAAAGTTCTTTGTGTGTTTTTGGTATTTCTCTTTTGCCTTCTCCACTGTCCTCTAAATTCGGTATTTCGTGCTAATCTTGATACACCATTATTACAAGCAAGCAATTGTGGTCACCAGATAATACATAGTACAGAGATAGGACACAATAGTTCCCCTTGGTGTTTTGTTTAAATCTGTATTACTATGTCACAAATTTTCTACTCTGTACTTTGAAATTATTCAAATAGGATTATCAACCTTTATTTTAAGCCTGTGATGATAATGCAACAGAAGTGGGAAGAACATTTAGCCTGCAGTGCTGCCATATATGTCCCCCAAACATGAACTTCGTCATTGGTCTTCATGCTCCACTCTCCCACTGTCTCTTGGTATATGTCGGTCCATCCTTCACATACCCACACAAGTACTTGGTCTTCCTCAGTGCTCAAGCCACACGCATGTAATTACCCTTGACAGCTCCTTCTAGACTGACGCAACTGTGGTACCCAACAAGACTGTGACCCTGCTTCAGAAGTGACTGCTTGGCTTCTCCTTCTGTGCTCTCCTCTTCTGACTCCACCCTGCGTCACCCCTCCCGTATTGCCACAGCAGTTCTGAGTTGGGCTCTCTGTGCTGTGTCCTCACAGTTTATCTCTGTTTTGTTAGGAATGATGCAAACTTCAAGTCAGATGAGTACCCCCTCCCTGGTTTAATTTCCTTGGTGTTATTTCAAGGAAAAATATTTAACGTCCTACAGCCTTCTAGATCCTGTATGATCTGGCCCCTTCCTCTAGCCTCAGCTCACTATTGTACACTCTCCTGTAATTTTTTTTTTTTTTTTTTTTTTTGAGTTGGAGTCTCGCTCTGTTATCCAGGCTGCTAGGCTCAGGCAGTCCTTCTGCCTCAACCTTCCAAGTAGCTGAAACTACAGGCAGGTACCACCATGTGTGTCTATATTTCTTTTTTTTTTTTTTTAATTGTAGAGACAGGGTCTCTCCAAGTTACCCAGGCTGGTGCTGAACCCCTGAACTCAGGCACTCAGGGAACCCCTGCCTCCACTTCCCAAAGTGCTGGGATTACAGGCGTGAGCCACCACTCCTGGCTACCTAGAATTCTTTATACTTTTGCCACTTTGACCTTCTTTTTCTGTGTCAGTGATTGTATCTGAAAAGAATTTGACAAAATTCTCTCTTTATATCAAGTATGTATCTTAATAGAAATTGCCTTTGAAAAACTAAAGGTAGAAGGTATTAATGATTCAAATAATGTGTGTCTGTTTATTGCCAGAACTACAGTAAGGGCTTTTCATGCCTAATAGTTATGAAGGAGAAGACATTGAATGATTCTTGGTTTTGTTTTTTGGTTTTTTTATGGGGTGGGGGAGTGCCAAAGTCTTAAGTTCTCCTTGAGCATATTCAAGGTATGTTTCATAAAAGTACACAATTCAGCACCCACCCAGAACCAGCCTATAATTTCATGGTTCAGGGACCACCCTGACCCTACTTCATACATTCAAGTTCATGTGTGGGTCTGTGAGCATGTGTTGAGGGTGGGAGTGGCAGTTAATGGGGACAGTTTCTGAAACCTGGGCCAAAAAAACCAAAGTTAGGAACCAAATCACGTTCCAACTTTACAACTTCTTACCAGCTGGAGCATCCTGGGTAAGTTAATTAACTTCTGTGTCTGTTTCTTTGTCTTTAAACGAGGATACTGTTACCTAATGCATTGGGTTTGGGGGGTAGTTAGATGTGGTCAAGCATGTATCGTGCTCAGCACAACACTTGAGTGAGGGGAATTGCTCAGCAACTGTGACCTACAGCTGTAGTGGCAGCAGCACAGATCGTAGAGGTGACAGTGGTGGCAGGATATTAGCAGGAGCAGGAGGTGATGTTGAAAGGGAAGAAGAAAACTTGGAGTGGGAGCTTCCTTAAGATGAATCCGATTGTTTAAATAGGAAGATTATTTTTTGAGCTTAAAGTTGAATTTTTGTTTATTTTCAGATAATGATATACCTCTTCTCTTATTTGAATCTGATGGTTCATTGATGTATAGTCCAATGAAATATCATCGTAATCACCACAGTGCAATGGAGAAGAGATTACAAGAAATGAAGGAGAAAAGGGAAAATCTCTCTCCTTCCTGTAAGTGATTAGTTTGTAAAATGAAAATTATGTAAATAGGTGAATAAATTATGGTGGAAAGTTTTATTTTCTTTACCTAGATAATCTAGTTAATGTTTCCTGATTCTAACAAATTTTGACCTATTTCAGGGCAGACTTTAATATTTTTTTCCAGAAAATCTTATCAGTAAGATTTTTGAAGCCTTTGTTGAGTGTATAGTATTCTTCAGACTTGAAATCTTATTTATTGTAGCTTCTTTGTAATTTCTAATATCTTTGGAATTTTTTCTTTTAAAAAAAGCCATGTCTCATTTGAAGGCATTTGCTTTCATTAATGCATCTAATAAATTGGCTTGTCTTTCTTTATTTCTTTTTAACATCTTAATTTATTAGTAACTGAGCTTATTTTAATAAAATATTTAACTAAGTGGATAATAGTAAAAACTCATCTTAACCCTCATGTAATTCTACCCCTCTGCCTAGAGGTAACCTGTATTTTAAGTTGATGGTTTTTTTCCTGGTCTTTTTTGGTATATTACATTTCTTTGCAGACATGGAAAAGATACAGGTTGGGTTTCTGTGGAGAGGTGTAATTTCTGTTTTACCTAAATTGGATTATGGCATATGTATTATTTTCACTTTCTTTTTTTACTTGAATGTCCTGGAGGTCTTTTTCAGCTCAATAGGTGTGTATTGACCACTTTGTTTTAAGGTACTGCAGAGTAGTCTACAGTGCTGATATTGACTTATCTGTTGGTGGTTATTTTCCCCCAGTTTTTCTTTACTAGAAATAGTGCTGCTGTTTTTATTATTTTCTTAATCACTTGGCTTGGTTGTTCTTGTTTTTTATTAAAACTTTTATGGACATAAGACTTTCTAACTCCCCATAGTTTATACCGTTATAACTCCTACATGCATCTACCTAAATCCTTATCTTTCTGCATGCTTCATGTATTTCAATAATATTAATTCATAAATGCAGGATTTAATTTTTTAAAATTAAGATTATGGAGTCTTATTGTGTCACTCAAGCAGGATTCAAACTCCTGGGCTCAAGTGATTCTCCTGCCTTCATCTCCCAAGTAGCTAGGACTGTAGGTGCATTTCACCCTGCCCAGCTTTCTGATGGGTACAGTCAAATTATCCTTCAAAAGATTGTGACCATTTTACCCTTTACAGGTTTTTTTAATAAGTGTTCATTTCTCCATACTGGGGAAACTGGATGGCATTCGTTTTTAAGACTTTTTTCAGTCTGAAGATTGAAAAACTATTTCTTTGTTTTTTATTATTAGTGAGGTTGAGTGTCTTTTCATATTGACTATGACTTACTACAACTTTTAATGTTATCGACCATTACCTCTCTGAATTTCATATCATTTGTTCATCTGCCTATTATATTCTTCTTTCTGATTTGTAAGAGCTTTTTTAAAGGTTAGATATTTGGTTTGTCTTGAATTTGCATTTGTATATGCAAAATAGGCATCTATATCAGATAAGGTTAGTTTTGGCCACATACAATGAAGAAGTAGGTAGTCAGTGGTGGTCCATTGTATCTTTAAGAAACTAGTTTCCCATCTTTCTGATTCACCTTCCTTGGTGCCTGGCTTTTCTCCCAAGATGTGTGTCCCTCCAAGTTGAGCCTTTATCAGCCTTCGCAGATGTCCCATCCGATAGTCCTGCCAGGACCTGGTTGTATGGCCACTCCTGATTGCAAGCAAGACCGAAGTATAGTCTTTTATAGAATGCATTGAACAGAGTTTCTCTGTTGTTAAGACGAAGTGAGTAGATATTGAGGTAGGTAACTAGTTGTGTCCCAGAGAGACATCCACATTATTTCAAATGTAATTTCGTATATAAGCTAATTCACCTTATACTTGACTGTTTTCCATTACTTTGCAATGTTAATTCTGCCATTTTACCACATCCAGCGTAGTTTAAAACTCAACAATTGAAAATGTGATCTCTGTTGACCTTCCTTATCTTGGTTTGTTCTCTTTTTTACAATTGCTTGCTCAAGTCTTCTCAGAAAAGGATCCTTTTGAGTCCCTTTAAAAAGTATCTTTGGATATGAGACCCAAGCATCTCTTTTGTTTCTTGTCTACAGTATGCACAACCTTTGAAGAGAAGATTTATCACCTTATTTGATAAGCCATTGGGATCCTAGATATTTTCTATAGTTTCAGAATCTCTCAGCCCAGCACTAGTGCCATTTGGGGCTGGGTAATTCTTTGTGGTGGGCACTGTTCTGCGCAAGGCAGGGTGTTCAGCAGCAGCCCTGCCTCTGTCCACTAATACGAGTAACACACTTAACCTCCCTCCCTTACCTGTGACGTCTAAAATGTCTCTAGACATTACCAGATACCTCCTGGGAGCCCAAATCACCACTAAGTGAGAAACACTGCTCTAGTTATAGAGTAATTGTCAAATGCATCCTTGAAGAAAAAGCCATGATTATAAAACAGAAAGACTGAAGCAGACAAAGTATTCACTTTGTTGAGCTTCTGATGAGGTTCAGGCAAGTTGACTTTTTAAGATCCTCTCTAACTTTTATGATCCTATGATTTAATGGAATCAGCTTTGATTAATAGGTAGACTTACTGTTGGCCTCATATACTAAAAAAAAAAAAAATGGAAGTTTTATCTAATGAAATGTTTTAATTCTGTTTTCAGCTTCCCAGATGATTGAGCAGTCTCATGATAATCCAGGTAACTCTCTGTGTAAAGCATCTTTGACCATTTCACATGACACTTTATGTTCATGTAAAGTTATGTTCTTTTCTGAGTTATATTTAAGCATTGAGAATAGTATGATTTTCTTATTTAGCATTTCATGTAGTCATTTGCAGTGAGTAGAATAATTAGTTAAAACTAGATCTCATAAATTTCCTTTTGAAATTAGATATTATAATAAAATTAAGGCATGAGTTAAACTTCCTTTTTGGTCCTGTGGGTTTTCTACTAGGCATTTGCTTTCTTACTACAGAATATATTGCTCATTTTCAAAAATTCTTATCTTACATGAACTAAGCTGTATGCAGTTTAAACTGTGCAGAACTGAGAACAGTCAGAGCTTTGGAAAACTCACACAGTGTATAATGAATGTATAGAACATAAATATAGGAAATAAATAGAAGGTTTCCAGTTAGAAGCAGAAAGGGCATTGGTAAGAATTAATAAAATTGGTTAAACATGTATATTTATTTTTAATGTGAGAGCTCTTATTTGATGAGATGATTTTTCATGATCATATCTTTCCTTTGAGTGTATCAGATTTTTTGTAATTTTTCAGTCCGGCCCTCAACAAGGCCTACATTAGTAGTAGTGACCCCTAAATAATTGTTCAAAGTGCTTGAAATGTTACGGAATGTCTTACTGTAAAGATACAATAGTGACAACACATAAAACAGCATCAAGATATTAGGAGTTTGAACTAAAGCTTTCTTCCAGTGCATGGTTTATTCTCACAGTTGTGTCTCTGTGTGTGTATTACTTATTTACTACCCATTTACCCTAAAAAATCTCCATCTTTTCCTTTTATACTTGATACATACCTTTATTTCTTATGAGTTGAAAGCAAGTGTCAATAATAGCTAACACTGATTTTGCTTTTGCTGTGTTGTAGGCACTGCTCTAAGTGTCTGATTTACTGTACCTAATTTAATTCATCCATTAACCCCACGAAGTAGATTCTGACACCATCCCCATTTTGCCAGTGAGGAAATCAGGACACAGAGGTCAAACAACTTGTACAAGGTCCACACTTTGTGAGCGGCAAACCCAGGCTTCTAACTTAGGCAGGCTGACTTTACAATTTTACTCTTCATGACATGTCACACTACTTATCGGCATTTTGAAAAGTGTATATTCAGCTGCTAAAATGAAAAGCGACGTATATTTCCAAACACTACCTTGAAGACACAGAAGGCTCTGACTTGGCGCAGGCCTGGCACCTCCTTTCCACTGGGCCCTCCCTCCTGGAGCACAGCCACGAGGGAGGAGCCCTGGTGCTTACCCAGGCTCTTCCTTTTTAAAAGTAGAATTTGAGTGATTTCAGTCACAGAGTTGCAGCACTTCAGACTGTATGATTTCTGTGAAATGGAGGCCCTCTGCCGGCAAGCACTGAGTCCCTACTGGGAAGCCACCGCTGGGCTGGAGACTTCATATTCCAATATGGACAGAAAGTGGTATCTGTGCTCCAGTAGCTGATAGTGTGGAAAGAGGAGCAGGCCCACACAGGACCACAGTGCATTGTGATGCACAGTGCTGTGTAGCAGAGGGGACACAGCTGGCTCGACCTGGCCAGGGTGGGAGGGTCACAGGGATGTTGACAATACAGGCAGGTTTTGAAGGTTGAATCATGGAGGGAAGGCAAGGCACAGAGGTGTAGAGGGTGTAGAATTTTGAGGCGATAGGTAGCAGCTCAGCATTACTCTAAAGAAATGTAAAATCCTTATGGGGCATCAAAACACTGAGATCTACCAGAAGGTTCACTTTTGGACATAAATATAATACGAGGCCTTCACTAGAAGACAGGGGAGGGAAAGACAAGCTTTGTTAGTTGGGGAATGCTTTGTAGAAGATTAGGACTTGACCTCAACCTTAAAGCAGTAGTTCATATGTTTTAGAATTATTGACCGCCTGGATCATTTAGTGACAAGTTACAGATGTTCTTCCTGGAAAAAAGTGCAATGCATGTGGAAATTTCCGTGACATTTTGAAGTTTATTACTCCTGTCCTCCCTTCCTACCCTTATCCCATGCACTCATTGAATCCCAGATTCAGTAGATAAAAGCACTGTCCTAAAAGGTATTCTTAAAGGGAAATGAGAAGAACAAAAATGTGGTCAATTTTCTTATTAACTAAAAGCTGTACTTAAGTATTATTCTATTAGTCAACTGAAAATTAAATTTATAATAATTTAAACCATTTTAAAAAGTTACTTCTTTATTTATATTTTCCAGATGAGTCCTTTGCTGGTGGTTTACACTCATCTTTTGATGATCTTTGTAGAAACTCAGTATGTGGAAATCAGGAAGGGAAACTGGGAGAATCCATTCTTGAAATTAAAAGTGATATGTGTGTTTCCTCACCTGCATCAAAAATGCATAGTATTCATTCATCAGCATCCTCCAATTACCTCAACACACTAAGTCCTCAGAAATCTATAAGTAATCTTTCAAAGGAAGAAACAAATTGGCAAAGCGACACTGTAGGTAAAATAGTCACCCCTGACAAAAAGCAAGCAGAAGCTGTGTCTAAGGAGATGTTTGATGAGAAACACAGTTTGTCTCCTACATTACATTTAACAACAGGCCACCTTTTGGTACATTCAAGACCCAAGAGTTCCTCAGTAAAGAGGAAAAGAACATCAGGTGACCCACATTTATCGCCAAAAGAAAAGTTAAAGAAACAAAGTTGCAGCAAGAGATCCATCATGCCACAGTTGCAGCTTTTTAAGTCGGAAGACAACCCGCAGTTCAGGACCAAATCTGCTCTTCAGACTCTTGATTATGGGGAGTCCTCGTATGATGATTATTTTTCACCTGATAACCTTAAGGAGAGGAATTCGGAGAATCGTCCTCCTGAATCTCAGCCATCATCAATCCCTGCTCAATTCAACCACGGAAGTCTTTCTAAGGAGGAGAGAGCAAGCGTATTTAAAATGTCTGATTTTTCCTGCATTGGTAAAAAGCATCGATCAGTTAATGTTCCTGATTTAACAACAAAAACTAGGCCTACTCCTCAGAAAATTACGGTTGGTGAAGGCAGTGCCACTTGGAGCTGCGTGACTTTGGAGGAAGCACCTACCACTGCAGAATCTACAGGGTGTTGTGGACAGGCCAGTGCTCGGCTGAGAGAAGACCCACGCCCTAGTGCAAGCCTCTTTTCTCACACTACTGAGGACTCACCTCATCCAAGTGGATCTTGTGGTGATTCACCTCCTATGAAGGGAAGTAGTGAAGAAATGAAAGAATTGATTCACATAGAAGACACACAGAAAGAAAGTACCACTCCCAAAATGCCACAGTCTTCAGAAGGTGAAGCGCAACAAGATTATGAGCTAAGTTTTGTAGACGATTGTCACGTGGAGATATCTGCAGGAGAAAAGGAAAACTTATCCAGAGGATATAGCAAAAGTATGTGAATCTCCTTTTCCAAGTGTCTTTGTTAAACAAATACATAAGAGTGCATCCGTATTTTAAGTTTGTCACAACTTTTTCATAATTTAAATGATTCCCCCATTTTTATTTAAAGAATATGTGTTTGATATTCTCCAATGCTAATTTCTTTGGGAATCAATTACTTGCCACCCTATGGATTTTCTTGGCTTTTTGGTCAAATCTATTGTTAAGAATAAATTTTTTTCTAAGTTTTTTCCTTCTTACAGTTCAAAAGAATAAGTAAAACCTAATATGAATAATTATCTGGAGTTTTTTTCTTGTTCTGTTATAATCTCTTGCCACAACATGATAATTGTGTAGAGAGATATACTTTTTATTCAATAGAGCATTTTTTTACAAAATTTAGGTTCTTACTAGCGAGACTTTTTATTCTAGAAAGAAAATTAAGGTAGCGTAAGCGAATGATTCTATCAAGTAGGAGGAAATAATAAAAAGTACATTTAGAAATATGTTATCAGTATTTATTTTTGAAGAAATTTTGGACAGTGTTAACCATAAAGAAATATTTTTCAAAACATTTTTGCTCAGGTAGGAAGTTTAATTATAACAGACCTTGTTTGACATTGATGTATTTTGCTTTAAGCATGTCACATAAACGGATTCCCTATTTGTGATTTAGTTGTAACTATAATAACATGTAATTAACATAATAAACTATATAATAGTTGTAATTGTAGCAAAAGTAGCAACAGTAATAAACATTTTGCACTTATAATCTTAAGCACAAATAGATTCTAACCATCAAAATTGACGGAATCTTAAACTTTGAGAGGCCGGGTTTGGTGGCTCAGCCTGTAATCCCAGCACTTTGGGAGGCAGAGTTGAGTGGATTGCCTGAGCCCGCGGGTTCAAGACCCGCCTGGGCAACTTGGTGAGACCTCATCTCTACAATAAATAAAAAACTAACTGGGTGTGGTAGCACACGCCTGTAATTCAGCTACTTGGAAGGCTGAGGCAAAAGGATCACTGGAATCCAGCAGGTCAAGGCTGCGGTGGCCGGGAGTGTGCCACTGCACTCCAGTCTGAGAGAGACTCCAACTCAAAACAAACAAACAAACAAACAAAAACTTTGAGCATCTTTACCTAAAGATTTAGTTAAAATTTGATTAAGACCAAATTTACTCTCATCATATCTCTGCTCTTTGGATGGTTTGAACCACCTTTTCAGATGGAGACGTCATGGTAGGAATTGAAATAATCACATATGTGCTACATGTCTTTTCCCTGAATATAAACTCCCCAAAATTGTCTCATAAAAAGAATTAAAATAATTTAATATAATTTAACCTACTATTTATATTTTAGCTTTCTGAACATATATTAGTTTCCATTAGGCTTAGAGTGTGTTTTATTTTAAGATGATGTTGACTCTAAAGTTAATATGAAACAGTAGACGTGTGACTTGTTTTGGTAGTTAAGAATATTCTGCTCTTAAAGTATGCATTCTCATTCTTCCCATTTTTTATCTTTTGTATTTTCTAAGCTTTCTGTGACTCATATTTAATGACATGTAAAAGCGTAAGTTAAGTGGAAATAAGCTGGTTTCAAAAAGTGGCACAGCCCCAAATTCCAGTGTTGTCAGGAGTGTCGTCGTCCCTGGAAGCAGGTGTATTTCCTGTTCTAGAATGCAGCCCCCGTCCACAGCTGAGGCTCTGGGGTAGGAGAAGATGAGGGGCAGGCCCTTGTTGACGCATGGGGCCTTGGTGGAGATTTAGAGAGGTTGTTGTTCAAGTTTGAACGCTGTCACACAGGGGACAGGCGGGACCCTGGTGGAACTCAGTTTGACTCAGATGGAAGCATTCTGTGTACCCCAGTAGAAGGGCTTCTTCTAGAGTCATCTGCCTTATTTCACGTCATTACAAAGAGATGGAAAATCACTGGATTCTAGGATTGGAAAAGACTTACATGTTACTACTTTCTTTTATAATAATAAAATGAAAACTCATTGATGTTTTCAGCTGTCCACAGGCAACCCAGTGGGACTCAGGTAAACGAGCTCTCTTTGGGAATCTACTGTAGATGAAACCATAAAGCCTTTGATTTAAATGTCAGGTGTGTACATTCCATACCTGCTGAAATTGTGGGGGGGGGTGGTGATGACTTCTGTACATCAAACTCTGCCTCTCCAAATTTATTTCATGTTGAAATAAAAGTCATTTTTCAATTTCTGTTTTCAGTTTACTTTTACTTGTTGCTGTTGTTGATATCTAAGAGTATAATAAAGGTTTGAAGAACAAGTTATAAAGGGATTCCATAATAAATATTCATAGAACAGGAACTGAGGGAAATACTTAATTTTGTTTTTTAAAATAATAAAATCATGTTAATTTTTCTTTTTTACAATTTTACTCTCTAATTTTATAAACAATACACAAATACATTTCTGTTGTAAGAAAGATTGCTGAGAGAATACAGTTTTCCCACCTCATGCTCCTCCCTCTTTTTGTTAGCTCACTTAACTCACAGAGTTAGTCGTGCACCTATTATGTCTCAGGCACTGTCAAGTTTGTTGGGGGATGGCAGACAACGCAGCAGCATGCACCCCAGGTGGAAGGGGACAGATAGTGAATGATGTATTGCCCAGTGTCAGCTTGTGAGCTGCAGGTGACAGCTTTTTGTCAGTGACAAAAAAGAACTATGTTGGATAGTTAAGATAGCCAGTGAAGGCTCCCTGAGGAGATGACAACAGATCATGGGCTTAGGGAGGCAGAGGGGAGCCTGTGGCTATCTGCTGAAATCATGCTTCACCCTGTGGCAACAGCAGGTGCAGATGTCCCAAGGTAGACAAACGTTAGAAGAAGAACAAAGCTGCCAATACAGCACCAACTCCCTGAGGTGAAGGAAGGAAAGGGAGGTCAGAGAGGGGCAGGGTCCCGGTCATTAAGGTCTTCAGTCTCTGACATGGCAGGGAACTGTGTTTGGTTTTCAAGTGTGATGAGCCATCAGAGGATTTGAACTGGGGAGTAACTAAATCTAGTTTACGTTTTAAGTGTAACCCTGGGCACTTTATGAAGAATAAACTGTGGGTTGGAGTGTTTGCTCCAAACAATCATTGTCAAAAATTTAAGGTTTCCTTCTAGATGTGTGTGTTTGTGTGTGTGTTAAGGGGACTTTTTTGTTGCACATAGAATTACATTATCACCTTTGAAATTTGCTTTTTTTTAACTGATGTGTCATATATTTCTATATTAGTATCAATAAACCTTCATTTTGTAATTGTTCTGTATCAGGGGTCAGCATAATTTCTCAAATAGTAAATATTTTAGGTTTTGTGGGCCAAGAGGGCAAGTTGAGGTATGGCGCTGCTTAAATAGATGATTACATAATGCGAAAAAGACATTTTTGCAAATTTTTTATTGATGAAACTCAAAATTGAATACAATAGTAACACGGGTCTACTGATGAGAAGAATAGAATAAATTAGGGGAGGAAATAACGTTTCATTTAATGGGCTCAGACCAAGTGTTTCCATCACCAATATTGACTGCAAGTGTCTATTTTAAGGCTGTTACGTGATACGATTCTTTGTAGAAAGATTTTACATGTTTCATCTTTGAAAATGTTTTCTCAGACAGGCACTTCCAAATGCTAATATCAGTCCAGAAGCAGATGGTTTTCACTGAGCATATCCATTGCTTACAGGCATTTATGGCACTCTGTCAGAATCTCTGGACACGTGCCTTGTAGCACATCCTTTTACATCCTTTCATTGCAGATTAATCACTTGCATGTAAAGGCTAGGTGGAAGCCCCTCAACTCTGCAGTTAAATGGATTTTGAAATAGTAAATTCCCTCGGTCTCACATCTAGTCTGGAAAACGCTGGCAGAACTGTGTAGTTTGAACTTAGGACAGGTATCCACAGCACATTTGCACAGGAATGGAGATCTTGTTTTTACTTTTGTCAGCACAGGACAGGAATTATAGAAAGCAGTTTGATGTTACTTATTTGTGGAAATGGTGTCCCGCCCTGACATTGCTGACCATAGCTCTTCAACCACTGGCATGGGTTTAAATTGCCAAGGAGATAGAGCCAATTGGTCATCCTGAACTAGCACACAGTTTGACTCCTAGTTGCTCCTAGTTGTGTCAGGTGTCCACCAGCAGAAGCGGAAAGGTCCTTCCCACACCTACATCCTACTCTTTTCCATTTTCCCATCGGCTTAATATGATTTTCTTATTTGCTGTGCACTTGGAATTTTACATGTCGGCACCTTGTACACGAATGTTGTAAGCTTAATCTGGGCAATTTGGTCATGTCAGAATACTAGGTTCTTGTTCATAGATAGTAGTCACCAGCTGTTGAAGATTGGTAATGGCTAGCCACTCTTCTGCCGGCTCTCTGACCTGATCTTATTGAAGGCAAGTCTCAGACACACATTTATTAAACATTTATTGGCAAACAGATAGGTAGCAGTCCGCAAAACTGACCAATAGGAAGTCTCAATTCTAGGTCCTTTAGTTCACTATCCATACCTTATCTGAAGGATTTGCTGGATGGAGCTGATATTCTGTGGGTAGGTTTTTGTAAACTTGTCAGCATCAGACCACCAGGTATCCTTTGACCCTGAAGTTTATCACAGGACCATTTAGGGTTCATCTAAACACTGATATTTAGATCTCATTCTGAGGGATACCAACTCGTACTAGAATTTTATGCAGGATTAGGGGTGCCCCTGTGATACTTAAACCAATTCAGTGTTCTTAAATCCATGAATTTAACCAACACGAAGGATTAATATGGTTCAAGGTGGAGTTTATTTGCATTGTAACTTTAATCCAATTAATGGAGAATTACAGGCAGAAATGCTATAGTACAATAAAAGTACATTTTATGTATATTCATAATCCTACAACAGATAATTTTAATTTTAGATTTATTTCCAACAATAGGAGAAAGTGATAGTCTGTTATTTTTGATACATCTCCTTGAAATCATCAAGAGGTGTACCATTTTTAAATTGAGTGGATTAAAAATGTTTTGTATGTGCTTAATAGGAACAACTCATCCCAGTCACAGGCAGTTAGGTGTTTTTATTTGCTGTAGTATATTTTACATATGATGAGTGTTCATTCAAGAGAAAGTGTGAATTACTGTTGTAGCAAATAAACAGGTGTACATATATTCTTTAAATATTTTAAATTGAAGAGTAATTATTGCACTTATGACAACTCAGATAATTTGCAAGTGTCTTAAGAACCCTCTTCCTCATAGCCTGCCTACCTGCTCTTCTCTCCAGGGCCGTAAGACTAAGGCTAAGCAATCTTTTTTTTTCTTCTTCTTCTTTTTTTTGAGTTGGAGTCTCACTCTGTCGCCCAGACTGGAGTGTAGTGGCCGCTCCCGGCCACCGCAGCCTCAACCTGCTGGGCTCCGGCGATCCTTCCGCCTCAGCCTTCCAAGTAGCCAGAATTACAGGCATGCGCTACCATGCCCGGCCTGATTTTTTGATTTATTGTAGAGATGCGGTCTCGCTGCCGAGGTGGGTCTCGAACCCGCGGGCTCAGGCAATCCACTCACCTCAGCCTCTCAAAGGCGCGGGATTACAGACTGAGCCACCGAGCCCGGCTTGGGCTAAGCAATCTTAACAGCTCAATGTGGGTTAGTCAGCCTCAATAGGCACTGCAAGGAAGGAAGGAAGGAAAGCTATTGATTATTTAAGTGGTTGATTCATTCACTCATTTATTTATTCATTTTTTATTAATCAGATGTTTTCTTTGCATCTACTATGTCCAAGGTATAAACACAGTAAGAGATAAGATTCATATAAAGCTCTACTCCTTCCCTTAAGGAGCAGACAAGTAGAGAAGATACAGTCAAGATAATCCATATAAACCATCAGGAAATTCAAAAGTTGGAGAGATTACTTTTAGGGGGAATTAAAACTAATGGACATATATAAAATCATATTTTAATTTTCTCTACAACAAAGGAAACAATTCCACGTCGTCTTTTGGCAATCACTATTAGATTTTGTTTTTTCCATAATTAACAAAGTGAACTTGGTATTTTAACAGATGAATATGAGTACAGTCTCTTGTTAGCGAGTTTGCTTGTGTAGAACCTGTGAGTAACTGGGACATACCCCAAAGGTATGTATGGAAAGGAGTTTTTTCTAGGTATCTTTCAAGGTCCTTTCCAATCTTAAGATTTTGCATACTACATTGTACTTAAATAATGCATCATTCAGATTTCTGGAGCTTAGAACATTATCCCTATTGGGATAATGTTAAGTGTTGCATATGCTGTTTTATATGTTAGAATTGTGGATTATTAAATCACTGTTCAGAAGTCTTTTTAGCCCTTGACTTTTGCACAGTGCTTTGTATGAATACATACTGTTTAAATGTATTAGTACTAGTATGATTGATCCTAATTCTGTGTCTTGGAAGTAGGAAAGTAAATGGATGATGGAAATAAGAGTTTATTTTCTTGGCCTTAGCTCTAGGCAAAATTTTGACATGGGCCAAGTATCTCTTAGGTGTTTTCAGCATGCTTTTCTCATCTCTCTCCCTTTCCTAGTATTTAAGTTACACATGTCCTTAAGTGGCTTTGGCCTGGTTCTTCCTCCAAAGTGATCACATTAGAAATTTTTTTCCTTTCTTCCTCCAGTATCAAATTAGTATCAAAACTTTTCCTTAATCTTGTGTGTATTTCTATTGAGTAAGTGAAGGTTGTGATTTAACTTGTTCACACTGAGAAGTGAATGAGTGACCATTTTCTAACTTTCCTTGATGTGTTTATATTTTGATGATATTGTTAATCCATACAAATTTGTAAGTGGTGAAATTTCAGATAATATAACCTAATGAAAAAAATTCTGGGGCTATGAGGTTCATTTCAGTATCTGATCATTTTTGTGAAAACTGTCAGTGCATCATTCTATGAGGGTAGAATGAAAATGACAGGAGAGAGAGAGAAAGCTAGAATTTATGGCTTTCATAGGGAGATGCTGTGTACTGAACTGTGTCCTCCCCCAGATTTATGTGTTGAAACTGTAACCCTCAGTGGGATGATACTTGGAGGGGATGGGGTCTTTGGGAAGATAATGAGGTTTAGATGAGATCGTGAATAAGTCCTTCATGATGAGATCAGGACCATTACAGAAAGATACTAGAGAGCTTGCTTCCTCTCTACCATGTGAAGACATAGCAAGAAAGTAGCTGTCTGCAAGCCAGGAGGAGAGACTTCACCAGAATGCCACCGTGCTGGCACCCAGATCTCAGATTTCTAAACACCCAGCCTGGTATTTTGTTATGGTAGCCTGAGCTAAAGAAGACAGACATTTCATCAAACTAGAATGGGTTGGAGGAGGAGCAGCTCCAGGGTAGACTATGAGCATGTAGTTGACTTTTCTCTGAGACATTCAGAGTAGATGTTCTTTAGGTAGTTGGGTGTAACCACTTGAATATACCCAGACCTCAGCTGGGCCTGCCAGGGAGCATAGAATTAGAACTCTTTAGTAATGGATGACTCTATGGGAAGTGATGAAATCGCCTTAGGAGTTGAGAAGGGAACCGATGACAACCCGTGAAAAAGCCACACTTCAGGAATAAACATGAAAAGTATCATCCGAGAGGCAGGAGAGCCTGGATGAAGGGAGTAGACATTTGTTTACTGACCTGTAGCCAGAAGTGGAATCCAACAGCCCTTTCCACAAGTGCTTTCTGAATTACTTTGCACTGTCAACTGCTTTTAGTTTACTAATGTCCTTTTTAAAGAAAACCTGTTGGTAAATGACTGTGCCAGAGTATGTAACATGTTTTAAATAATCAAATAATAACTCATTTACTTAGATTGCTTTCTGACTGCATGATTTGTGAAGAGAAAATATGTCATTAACAAGCTCAGTCTTCCTTAAACTTTAAAAGGTGGTGGTGTATTCCCTAGAGCTTTATGTTTACAAAATGCTTTTCAACCTATTTGTTGTTTGGCAAGAACTAAGGCAAGTGGTTGTCAAAACTTGTGGGTTTTTGTTTTGTTTTGTTTTGTTTTGCTTATTTGTTTGTTTTTTGCACTAGGAAGCTGCAGAATGATTCATTAATAGGCCATTGCATCCCAAGTTAAATTTCTAATCCACTGCTTTTTTTATTTTGATATGCTTGTGCTTTAAATAAATATTTGTATTTGGAAAGGGAAATAAGTACATAGTAGATACAATTAATATTGATTCTAATCTTCTGATTATTTTTAATCTCAGATCTTAAAAATGACAACATTGCATCCATGTCCTGCAGTTCTCAGCATTTTCAAAAGATGATTGTTGAAAGTGGTGGAAAGTAAATGGATTGATTAAGTAAAAGTGAGAAACTTAGCAAGATCCTAGCACAAAATGACCAGCCATACAATACCTTTATACACAGCCTGCAAACCCATCTTCCCCAATCCATCCATCTTTATTTGGCTGGTTGAAGTCATCACTGTGGCTGGGCAGACATCAGGGCTAAAGTAGGTTGGAAGAGAAATGGGTACAAGTCAGCTCTATAAGATTGCTGAGGAGGTAGGGGGATTGGTTTCAGTCTCCAAAGGGATCCAGTACTAGGACTTATGGCAAAGTCGGTTTGTGGATCAGACCCTGACCTTAAAATGTTTCTAGGACCCAGGCTGCAGATAACAACTAACTTGAATTTAAGAAAATATTTAAATATTGTTGTTCTGTATTTCTTTTTCACTGAGATGGAATCTGTTTTTTGAAAAGAGTGAACACTTTCAAATCACACTCTCCAAACTTAGTTATGTCTGGTTTACAGCAACCTGTGTGTAAAGCAGTCTTTCTCATGTTGTATGATCTTTCATTTCTGAGGACACAGATGCTATTTTTGTCTTGTATTATATTTATTTATCTGTGTCTTCATTGTCTACTGAGCCATAAGCTCCCTAAAAGAGGGACAAAAACTTGTACATTTTGTATCTCCAGCCCCTGATCATTTAGTATTTGTTGATGAGTAAATCGGTGAAAGGGGGGATGTACACTTGGGCTAACTGTCACCACCTGACTGGGCAGGACTAGTAAGGCAGTAGCAGTTGGTGAGTCAATTAATAGAAAACATTTTACACGTCGTTGTGGGTTACTTAGGTCTACACAATTTAGCTTCTAATGAATCCACATGTCACTCAATGAGTAACTTATTTTTGATTTGTATATCTACATGGTGAGACATCTGAAGCTTTATACTAAAGATTATTTTCTAGAAAAATTCAAACCTGAAATTATTTATTGCCTCTAATTTAGAACTGGCTTGTCTGAGGAACTGGTTTAGATCATCACTTTAAAATATAAGAATGGAAGTTTGAAGAGTGCAGAAGATATGGGTGTGCGTTTCCTTGCATTTACTTTCTTGTTCATTAGCAAATGGACAAATGTGATGATATAGAACATTGCGCCCTGACAGTAAATTGCTTCTGGCCATTGAGTTAAGTTAATTGCTTGGGATGCTGGAGTGGAATGAGCTAAAAATTCCAAATTGATCTCAAAGAGCGAGAAGTGTGCAATGTTTATCTGAAAGGCCCTTAGTTTCCTGTTACCATTATGCATAAATGCAATTTTTATTTTGCTTAAGTTGTATTAGTATTCAGTTCATGTAAAGTTCTAACTGATTTTCAATCCACTTGGGTTTTAGGTGTTAAAAATAGACCAAGGCATGATGTTTTAGATGGCTCATATGAAGATTTTAAGGACCGTATCAAACCGCATGAGGAATCAAAAAAAAGTGGAAAAGGCAGAAAGGTCAGTGTGTGAAAATACGATTTTAAACTTTCAGATGCTGCTACACTGTGATGTTCTACCATGGGTTAATGAAATATCAACAAGTCTATCCATTTTGTGTTTTATTTAAAGAATTGATTATGGGTGAGTGTTGGAAAATGCTGAACATGAAACTGAGAGCCTTGGTCACCCCCAGGACAAAGAGTTACTGTTGACAGACTCACAATTCTCATAGCACTTTGCCAGTGCATTTCTTGTAAAAATGCCTGCAGCTTCTCTTGAGCAGAGAATGTTGTTAGTGCCAGTATTTGTTGCTGTGTTATAATCTGAATAAATATTTACTAGGCAAGAGGTGAAGAACCCAAACATCATCCATTTGTACACAAATCAAGGTTTGACCTCAAGCCATCAGAGTGAAAGGTTTATACACCAACACTCAGGGACACTTGCTTCTCTGTGGTTTTGGCTTTAAAACCCAGCTCTTCCTCTAAGAAAGTTCTCTTATCCCAGGACAGACTTACATGAATAGTGTTAGGAGGATTTTTACATTTTTTTGATTATTCACCGGCTGCTAAACTTAAAATGAGCCACTCCACATTATCTGGTGCCTAATTTTTATGAGGCCAAGGTAATATAATATGGTGAAACCCGAATGCAAATGATAGGAAGAACTGTACTGACAAACAGGCCCCAAATGAAAAGTTTGCAGTGACAAAGATGGAGTTTGCAGGGGGACGCCCAGCTCCTGATTCTCAGACGTGATGAACAGCAGCACTTGACCTGCAGAAGGGCAACAGGATTCCTTTGCTTCTTCTGTTGGCAATGGTTAAGAGACATTTAAGTTACACAGATTCCATGGGTGTGTGTTGTAACTTGTAGAAACTTAGATTACCGGGGCTTTCTGGTGTGTCTTAGGAAAAAAAAAATGAGAAGGAACCATGTTTCAGGTAGAGCAGCAGATGTGTGGAGAGAGAAATTGTCAAGGTTCCATGACATATTGGTAGTATAAGTGCCACTGAAGCACCTGAAGTCCCATTTTAGGATCACATTCAAGTGTCCTATATCTTTTGCAGCCTGTTGAACCCACCCAACTTGTGGTCTCCCGGGCCACGTGTATAATGCTTCTCTGTTTCCCTTTCTTCTTTGCAGAGAACTGTGACCCCCATGGCCAAGTGTATGTTTTGCTTCTCTGTTTCCCTTTCTTCTTCCTAATTGCTGCATGGCCACTTGACTTATGAGGGGGGACCCTCCAAAAACCGGAATTATCTTTTTGAGGATGGGCCCCTTGTAGTACAGGCATCCCCTGCTAGGTAAATGTTGGAACCCATTGGCATCAGTGTACCAGCTAGCATTATTGTGAGAGACTCCATTTGGCTTCAGTACATTTTTTTAAACATATTATTTTAAAATTGTGGGGTACAGTTAAGGGTTAGGTATACAAATATGCATTGTGCAGGTACCCTTGTTGATGAGGTGTGCCCCCTGCCATCCCCAGACAGATATTGACTCCATTAATCTCACCTCCCTTCCCCTCCCTGCCCCCCCCATAGTTTCCTGCCACTGTCAACCCTTTTCTTATAGTATTACGATAGTTGTTCAAGGTCCACTTATGAGTGAGAACATGTGATACTTGGATCTTTGTTTCTGTGAGAGATCACTCAGTATTATAAACTCCAATTCCATCCAGGTTTGGAGATTCTTTCAACTCATTTGTCCATTTCATGATGAGTGTTCAGTTTTGAGCAAAAATGACATGACCCCCGTCCCACCCTCCCTATACACCCAATCTTACCTAGAGCGTCTTTTGTGTCCCCGGATGAAAAAAATCTTCAAAGGGAAACATTTTGCCAATGTGGAAGAGGTGAAACAAAAAATAGCAGAAGCACTAAAAGGCATCAAACTTGATGAGCTCAAAAACTGCTTTGAGCTGTGGAAAAAGTGTCTCGATACGTGTAGTGAATCAAATTATAGGGTACTTCGAAAGTGAATGAAGGTTAAACATGTGAGAATAAGTAAATAAACTCTGGATTTTTTGGGGTCCCCCCTCGTATTTCTGTTAGAAAGAAATAAAGAAAAGGGCCCTATTGATAATCATCCCATCAGTGTCCTCAGCGTTCACTGCTGCTGCTGCTGCTGCAATCCACAGCAGCTGGTCCACAGCTCTGCGTTCCACTTGACATGACTGTCCGCCCACTTTCTGCCCTCTCGAAGGTATCTTCTCAATTGTGCCTTACTCATCTCTGTGGTTCCAATACTTGGTACAATGCCTGGCTTTTTTTTTAAGATGCTCAGTAAATAATTGTTATTGAGTTACTTGCTAGTCACCTTAAAAAAGCTCCATTCTGTCCAATAAAAAAAGCACGAAGTCACTCTCATTTGCTTACTATGGAAGGTAACATTTCAGACGCTTGACCTTGTTGCCTTAACCCTGGACCTGACAGGCTGGGTCTGTAGAAAACATTGGGTTACAGATATGCATCCAGAGTGGGTGGGAATCTGGTCCCTTCTTTCATATGAGGCCTCTGACCTTAAATAGTAAATGAAATGGGAGATTTATGCCTGTTTGACTTTCTAGCATTACTTTATAGATCAAGTGGTAAATGCTACATAAATGTAAGGTAGTATCGTTGTCATGAATAATGGTAAAATAATAGGTGGTCAGAGAAGACAGTAAAATACAAAGTAATATATACACACCTACCTATCTGCCTTCAACTGTCATACTCAGGAACAAAAATATTTTAATAACTTGAATAGCCTAACTTGTTCAAATTTGTTTTAACTCTTATTTGAAAATATTTTAAATGTATTAGTAAACTTTCTGCCCTCATAATTTAGAATAATAGAATATAATACTGAAAGGAATGCATCACTTCTGTTTCTGCAGGAAGAATCACTTGAAGCATTTTTTGTGTGTGTTTTGTTTTGTTTTGAGTCGGAGTCTCACTCTGTCGCCCAGGCTGGAAGGCAGTGGCATGATCACGGTTCACTACAGCAAGACCTCCTGATCCTTCCACTTCAGCCTCCAAGCGTCTGGGACTACAGGCATGCATCACCACACTCCACTAATTTTTTTTATTTTTTTGTAGAGACAAGATCTTGCTATGTTGCCTAGGCTAGTCTGGAACTCCTGGCTTCAAGCAGTTTTCCTGCCTAGGGCTTCCAAATTGATGGAATTACGGGTGTGAGCCACTGCGGTTTTTACATATGCAAATTGTCTGCCCCCTTCTGAGTGCCTCTGGGCCAGCAGCCCCAGGCCACGTCTGTGTAACAGCAGTGCTCTGTCACTAGCTTGTGAATGCTGCTGCTCCAATACGACTCCCTTCCTTAACAGGGAGGAAATGAACACTCAGTGGGGGGAAAGAATGTACCTTGGGCATCCTATCCAGCAAAAGAAACGAAGCCTAGGTTTCCTTTCCTGTACATTGTATTCTTCCTAATCCATTTCTTATTCCAGTTTACCACAGTCTTTTCCCTAAGGAATCAAGAACTCCTAACGCTTTAGGATAGTTCTTCCTGCCTGGGTTTTACATTGGAATCCCCTGGAGACCTACCAGATATGAAGTTGCCTGGCTCTCACTCCCAGACATCCTGGTGTCATTAATGTGGGGTGCACTCTGGTTACTAAGGTTTTTAAAAAAAAAAACAAAAAAAAAAACTTCTGAGTTGATTCTAATACAAAGTAAAATTTGGAAACCACTGCCTTAGGGACTTGATCTAGTGTAGTTTATCCTGTGAGAAGTGTTGTTTGTTTCTAAGCACTTCTCATATAAACCTGTTTCATCATTTGGACTCTTTAAAGTGACAGGCAAAAGCTGAAAGTCCTGAATTTTTTGCTTATGGTTTTAGAAGTGCAAATTTAGATAGTAGCGTGGAAAGATGAATGACCATGGTTTATCATTTTGCAGGTTAGAAGGAAGAATGATTTTTTTAAATTTCTTGAAATGAAATTTTGGATTTTAAAGATACAGCTTTCTGGTAGTTTAAGAACTCTTAATATGAGGATGGGGAGAGGAATTGATGTTGATATCTGATGTTGTAATGAGTCCAAAAAACACTCAATTTTGTTTCCTGGTTTTAAAAGTGTACAATGGAATTATAGAAGGATTAAATTGGTGAATTAAATAGAAGTTTCTTAGCCGTATCATATTAGTCTTAAAGGTTATGTTAGTATCTCAATATTCCCTTTTTCCCACTAAAGCTGATGTTTTACCTGATTGTTTGTTTCTTAGTAGATTTGAAGATAATCTGTGCTAAACTGAAATTTGAAACTTTTAACATAGTCATGTTTTTATGTGTAAGTATATGTTAAGGGATTATGCCCTATTAAGCATAAAACGGTTGCTGTTCCCTACAAAAACAAAAATCTTGTGATTGAGTTTTAAGGTTGAAAAAAGCAAGTTTATAGGACATACCTTTCATCAGCTCATTACTGATGCACATGCCCCTGCTGAAGTGAGGCACAGTGAGGTCTGCAATGTAAAACTGAATCTTTTTGTCTTCACGTGAGAGCTGGCTCACATGCAGCTTCTGTAGTTGTGAACATAGTTTGAAACTCAGATGTGTCTCGTGGCCCTCGTGATCATTTTTCTTTTTCATCTTAAACTTGAAGTAGCACATATAGCTGACGTCCTATCCGGGCAGCCTGGCTGAACAGGCCTGATGAGAGCTGTCTGTCCTGGATTCTGTGTCATGTGAAGGTGTGTCCTGGATTCTGTGTCATGTGAAGGTGCAAGGTAGAGAATCTGAAGGACAGGGTGGTCAGATAGACCTATCCTGGTGGGTGGAGCGGCACAGTCCTGGTAGAGGATGTGGCCCGGGTGATCGTCCCAAATAAGATCTGAGCACAGGCTGCCCTCATCTGTGGTTTTCTGTAGCTTCATTGTGATTGTTATACCGGAATGTTGTGTTTGTTGTTAGCCTACTTGAGAGTCACAGGCCTTCCTGTCTTTGATCTGTTCTGGAAAGTGCTCAGCTGTTATTTCTTCTGACTGTTTTCTCACGCCTCCATTGCTGGGAGT